AAAAAAACCCCCCCCCCCCCCCCCTACCGTTATCCCCATAGGCCCCCCCCCTCTCCCACCCCCAAGGGGGGATGGGGGGATGGGGGGATGGCTGTGTTTGTGATGTAGATAATGGTGGTGATGGTGGTGATGGGGGGGTGATGATGATGGTGACCGTGATGACCATGATGACCATGATGATGATGACCATGATGATGATGATGGTGACCATGGTGGTTGGTGGGGGTGGGGATGATGGTGACGACCGTGATGACCATGATGACCATGATGATGATGACCATGATGATGATGATGATGATGATGATGATGATGGTGGTGATGATGATGGGGGAATGGGGATGGGGCTGGGCGTTGTGGTGTAGTAGGTAGTTTCAAAGAAATCATCAACGTGTTCGTGTACATGTCTACGCGATCGAGAGCCGCCGCCCAGATGGCGTTCGTGCATCCACAGCCGACGGCGATCGCCGACGTGGGGAGTCAAGGACGCCAGCTGCGCTGCGCGGCGTTGCCGAGAGCCGTCGTTTCCGGACGCGGATCCGTCGCCGCGGCGTTGTCGTCGTAGCTGTCTCGGTATCATCGGCCGCCGCCGATGTCGCGGCGCGCGGTGAGGAGTATGCGGCCGATATGATATTCCGCCGAGTCCGCGGCGTGAGATGCGAGACCGACTTGCGCCGTGCCCGGGATCCGCGCGCCGACTGCGACATGCCTGTCTTGGCTGCCCCGCTCGTTCGGCGATTGATCCGAGGTTGAGCTTGCGGACCGGTCGACTACTCAGCCCGCTCATCGAGACCATCGTCATGTCCGACGTCGCAGCTCTCGGCGACCCGTCCACCCCACGCCTGACCGTCAAGCCGGGCGTCTCTTTGCCATCGCCATCGGATGTCGAGATGTCAAACCCGGCTGCGGACGTAGCCGAGGAGCAGCGCTGATGCCGTGGCAGCAGCCGGCGCATCTGTACCCCAGGCGAGCCGGCCATTGACATCGAGTTTCCTCGGGAGTGGTTGCGCGTTCGCGACACGGACCGCGATGGCGAGCCCGAGGCTGAGGAAAAGTCGCCAGCCGTCAGCTCGGACGTCGCCTCGCCGGCAAGCCACGACGTTGCGCTCGCTTCCGATCTGCCAGCAGCCGCCGACGTCAGCCCGGCGGGCTGCCGGACTTGCACTATGGCTGCGTACTTGGCTGCGTGCTTGGAGTACGACTCGGTACGGTTGAGACTGCGCGCCATAAGCGCTGAGTGCCGCTCGTTGCGTGCCGCCCGATGCGCTGCAATGTCCAAGGACTTGCCGTTGTGCTTGAGGGCAGCATTCGCTTCCTGAACCCCAGCCAGCACCCGATCCAACCTCGGCGACATCCCGCCGTTGCTGTTGGCTGCAGCCGGCATCCGCGGCGTCAGGGCAGGGTTCATGTCGAGCCGTCTCTCGGTCACCGTCCCGGCCTTGACTGCAAGATACAGCGGGACTTCGTGTGACACCTGGAGCGGGTAGATGGCCAGCTGATCCGGAAGCGGCACAGGCATCGCCGCAAACGTCGCATCATCCAGCACCACTGCGCCGTCGTAGCTGTGTGCCGTCGCCGCTCTGTACGCGGCAGCCACACAAACGCGCTGCTTGGGCACTGAGCTGAGTCCAACGTGGTTGCAAGTCGTCACCGCTACCGTGATCCGAGGCCCGCGCCAGATCCGCACAGGTCCATCGCCGCTGCTCTTGACCGACGACGCGCAGAGCGGGTGCGAGACAAGGGCATTGGACCACTCCACATCAAGCAGTGCATCCTCGATAGCGACGGCAGTCTCCACAGCCGTGAGCGCCATGTCGGCTGGAAACATCGCTGCCGCGAATGAACCATCGCCATCGACGAGGTTGAACGGCATGCCGCCCGCTCCAACCACCTGAGAGTAGACAACGTCCACGACCAGATCCATAGCCTCTTGCGCAAGCTCTGGCGAGCTGCTTGCAAGCTCGGTGTAGATCGGCATGTACGCCACCAAGCACCTGCCCGACGGGCAAAGCTGCAACTTCTCTCCGGGTGTCACCTTGTTGGTCTGCAGCCGCCGGCGCTGATACCGGACGCAGCAGCATGCCACACAGCAGAGAAGGAGGACGATGACAAAGATCATGACGTTAATGGGAGAAGCATACGATGCCACGCCGCTCGAACTTGATGACGACACGTCGAGGCCACCGCAGCTGGCCCCGTCGCCAAAGCAAACACCGCAGGCATCGCGCTCGTTTGGCGCGCAGAGTGATGTAGGCGGCGGCGGCGGCGATGGGGGAGGAGGTGGAGATGGCGGAGGAGGTGGAGATGGCGGCGGTGGCGGCGATGACGGCGGTGGCGGCGGTGGCGGCGGTGGCGGTGATGGGGGAGGAGGTGGAGATGGCGGTGGCGGCGGTGATGGTGGTGGGGGTGGTGATGGTGGAGGAGGTGGAGATGGCGGCGGTGGCGATGGCGGTGGCGGCGGCGATGGCGGTGGGGGTGAAGGCGGCGGCGGGGGTGACGGCGGCGGCGGTGACGGAGGAGGAGGAGGAGATGGCGGTGGCGGCGATGGCGGTGGCGGCGGCGATGGCGGTGGGGGTGAAGGCGGCGGCGGGGGCGATGGCGGCGGCGGGGGTGACGGCGGCGGCGATGGCGGCGGCGGCGGTGAAGGCGGCGGCGGCGGTGGCGGGCCACAGTACGGTGAGGCAGGGACGTACGAGCCGTCCGACTGACAAGTCACCTCGTCGTTGGCGTCCGCGCCGTAGAGAGTAAAGCCTGGATCGCAAGTGATCTTGAGCGTGCCGTCGACCGGAGCAAAGGTAGCGCCGGTGATGGACGACGGTGCGACCGAGCCATCGGCCACAGCACCGTAAAAGTTACACACCGGGTAGTAGCGAAAGTAGATGGTGGGGGTAGGCAGGCCCTTGCCCAAGGTACACGTCCCTGAGTTGCACTTTGTGCCCGATTGCTCGATGCGCAGCATTAGCCGTGAGCCCGAGAAGGCCGAATCACTAAAGGCAGCGCCCAGCAAGGATCTGATGGCGGTGCCCGAGATGGAAGCAACCGATCCGGCCGAGTCTGGCACGTTTTCCACAACATAGCTTCCTGTGTATGGCGTAGCTGTGTTGAGACGATAGTCGGTCTGCCAATAAGAGTCATCGAACGACTTTGCCTTGTCACTGCTTGCAATGCCGTAGTACGCCAAGGCCACGTCCATATCATTCGATACGGAAATATACTCAAACTCGATGGCACTCTGCGGAGTGATCCAGAAGAAGCCCGTTGTCGTCGATGGCAAACTTGCAAAGTAAGCATTAATAGCACAGACTCGCTCATCATTGACGAGATTAAGGTCAACGCCTTCGCTCATACCTCCGTTGCTCCGCGTCATGCAGGTTATCCAATTTGTTGATTGGACCACGCCGGTCACCGTCTCCATTGTCGGCGCAGCCGAAGCCACCACACACAGCCACAGGACAACGACCATGGTACATGCTACTGCAGAACATGGTCTGCTGCCCTGGTGCATGGCTTGGAAGAGTCAAGTGTCGACGAATCGGGCCGGTGCCTTGGTGCGACCTTCTGCGGGTGAGTCAATATGCAGAACAACGTTTGGTCACGGTAAAGGTGGAGGAATAAAATTTTACCGGAGGCGGTTGATCAGTGGCCTGCCTGTCGAGTTGATGTGCTGTTCGTACCCAATGGCACAGATGGTCCATCATTGACGACTGAGTTGGATGAGTGGGATAAAGGGGTGGGGAAGAAGCGTGTTGAGGAGCAGAGGGAGTGCGATGATTAGAATACGGAACCTGTTGAAGGCTGTCTCGGTATATGACAAGGTATCAAAAGTACAGCTGAGGTCTGTCGTGAGCATAGAACATGCTTGCTAACCTGGTGGTGACGCCGATGCCTTGCTGCAGAAGTGTATCACTATGTGCAATGAACATGCTTGTGATAATGAAGCCGCAGCTTTTGTAATGCACAAGATGTGGTGAGAAACATTGACCCGGGACTCACAGACTAAAAATTGACATCTACCTGTCACCCAAGCTACTCTGTCAGCTCGCCACCGGCTTTCGGTTCTCGCTCCTCGCCAACGGACCCGCTTGTATGCGAGAGCTCAACAAGGCCGTACACACGTCTTGTTTGGCAGAGGAGGCTAATACTTGGCAGTGCAAACGTTATAGCCATGGCTAGTAACGTCACCGAGTGTGCCATGCCTGAGCTTTTATTTGCGTGCGGAAGCGCGTCGCAAACGTGCCCATCGTCGTCGGTTGAAGCGGCGGGTGTGGCCGGCGGAGCGATGGTCATCTTTTTCTCGCTGGCGGCTTTGGCGGCGGCTAGCGGGCGATCTACGGCGCTGGCGGTCTTCTTTCCCATCCGACTCCTGCAGAGCATATACTTGATTGTTTCTGCAAGCTATCGGACGACGTTGGTCTTTTCTCAGCCGCCAGTGGGCTTGGTATGGGCGCTGCGGATCGGCGCGGCGGTGACGATGGATGTTCCGGTGCTACGGGCGATCGGATGCGAGGACGTGTGGCTGGCACGTGGCGATGCGGCGGCGCTCGAGTGGTCACTGGTGAGCCAGCTGGGTGTCAGCTGCATGGTCATGGCTGTGGCTGTGGCTGTGGCAGCGGTGCGATCGGTAGCCGACCACGAGGCCGGACAAAAGCCGATTCGACGAGCCGCGATGCTAACGGCGATGCTTCTGCTTCCGGGCGCGGCGCTTGCTCTCGCGCGCGGAGCAAGCTGTTCGATGCGACCTAGCCTGCACTCGGTGCATGCGCCGCAATGGTGCTTCGACTCGCCGTGGGGCATGGCGCTGGTGGTAGTTGGTGCCATGATCGGCGTGGCTCTTGTGGCGTGTGTGGCTGGATGGTGGGTCCTGCTGCGGATGACCGAGTGGGACGAGCTTGTGCACTCGCTGTATCTCTCACGGTATGGGGTGGTGTACGAGGAGTTCAAGATGCGCGACGTGGCGCTGTATCGCGGCCTGGGTGGCGCTGTGGTCACTCTCGCGACTCCGTTCATCGCCCTCGCGGTGCCGGACGTTTCAGGCTCAGCGCAGCCTCGGCTCGGCGGCCTTGCTGCGCTCCTCATCCTTGTCCTGGCGTACGATGTGTTCTTTCGGCCGTATCTCCGCTGGTGGAAGACGGCTGGGAGTGTGGCGGCTGGGCTGATAGCTGTGGCGGTGTGCGTGGCGGCGCTTCGAGTTGAGCCGCGACCGCTGGTCGACCGCCAGCTGGCAATGGTGCTCGGCGTTGGATACAGCCTGGTAGTCTGCGGCGGGATGTATGGCCTGTGGCGGGTGAGTCAGGCGCTGGAACGGGCCCGGGTCGGCCCGTCGCCTGCGGACACGGTGGCGGATCCGCTCCAGCTCGGCTCGGAGTTTACCTCGCCATCGTCGTTTGCGCGCTCGACCTGGGTCCGCCGCCTCTCGACCATGTTTGGTCCAGCCGGGAGTGCGACTGTGAGCCCGGGGAGAAGCGGCTCGACGCCGCGGCCGGGCACGCCTGGGCGGATGACACAAACTCTGCCGTTTGCGCCGGTAGAGGCAACGCGGGCAGTGCCCGGGACGGAGCGGCGGCGGGCGCCGCTATCGCCGCTGGCACGCGGCGGCGGCGGGTCGGCATCGTCACTCCGGGCGGCGCGGTACGAGATCGACAAGGCGACCAACGTGCCGTCGGTGGCTGCGCTCCAGCGACAGGGCAGCGGAGCGGAAAGGTCGCTGCCGAGGCGGCCAGACTCGCGGCAGGGCTGGCCGGCTGGGCAGCGGAGTGGACTGCGGCCGCTTTCGCAGGGCGCGGCGTGGCTGGTCTCGACGCCCAGCTCGCCAACGACGCGGCCGGCGCGGCCGGTGGCGACGAGCGAGTCGCCGGCTTTGGCGCCTGTGGCATTCCAGGTCCCGGTAACGCGCAAGGAGCCGTGACGAGAGGGAGCAAGGGGCTAATTAGCTGCGCTTCGGCTTGGTCTTGGCCTCGGCGTGGAGAGCATCGACCTGGCTGGCGTAGGTCTGGAGAATGTTGTGCCGCTTGAGCGAGAGCTTGGGCGTGAGCATGTCGTTGTCTGTGGAGAACGGCTCGCGGAGGTAGAGCCAGGCGGCCGGGCGTTCGTACGACTTGAGGGCGGCGCAGCCGGCGGCGATTTCAGCGTCGAGGAGGGCGCGGACGCGGGAGGAGTCGAGGAGCGAGGTGGTGGAGGCGCCGGCGTCCAGGCCGTGCTCGGCAGCCCAAGCGCGGAGAGCAGCCCAATCGGGGACGATGAGGGCGACGTTGGACGGCATGTTTGCGCCGTGGATAAACGACTGCGATATGAAGCGCGAGAGGTTGAGCTTGTCCTCGACAGGCGCGGGGACGACAAACTTGCCGTTCTCCAGCTTGTACTGCTCCTTGATGCGGCCGGTGATGGTGAGGAAGCCGTCGGCGTCGAGGCGGCCGAGGTCGCCGGTGCGGAAGAGGCGGAGCGACTTGCCCGGGCCGACACGGGCGTTCTCGACGACGGCCTCGGCAGTGGCCTCGGGTTTGTTGTAGTACTCGACCATGACGTTGTCGCCTGCGATGCAGACCTCGCCGTCGGTGCCGGAGGGGGCGACGTCGACGAGGTCGCCATCGAAGGACTTTGCAATGACAATGTCAACGCCTGCGATGGGTGGGCCGACGGTGCCGTACTTGCGGGCGCCCGGGGTATTGAGGGTGGCGATGGGCGAGGTCTCGGTGAGACCGTAGCCCTCAAAGACGGTGATACCGAGCGCGTCGAGGAGCTGCATGATGTGCGGGTCCATGGCGGCACCACCGACAAAAGCGACGCGGAGGCGGCCGCCAAAAGTCTCGCGGATCTTGGTGAGGATAGCCTTGTCGAGAACCTTGAGGATGAGCGTGTCAAGGATGCTGAGCGGCGGGCCTGAGGCGCCGGCGAGCTGGCGGGTGCGAAGTGCAATGGTCTTCTCAAAGAGCGAGCGGACGATGGGCGGCTTGCTAGCAAGCTTGTTGTTGATGCCGTCGTAGATGCGGTTGAAGAGGGCAGGGACGGAGAAGAGGACCGTGGGCGAGACCTTCTTAAAGTCCTCGAGGATGGTCGTGACGTGCTCGACGAGGCCGATGGCGCCGCCCTCGACTAGGAGCGAGTTGAGCTCGCAGGTCTGGCCGTAGGCGTGCGCCCAGGGAAGGAACGAGAGCGAGACGTCGCTGCCGTCGTAGAGGAGGCCTGATGGCGAGAGGCCCCAGAGCTCGGTGGGGCGACCGCCTGCGGCAGCGTGGCGGGCGGCGCCGCCTGCCGCCGCCGCGTTGCCCGATTGAATGGCCTTGAGGTTGGCGACGATGTTGCGGTGGGAGAGGGCGACGCCCTTGGGCGTGCCGGTTGTACCCGAGGTGTAGATGATGGTGGCGAGGTCGTCTGCGGCCGGCGGGCTGGGCGGCTCGTCGTCGCGGATGGACGCGCCGTAGGAGAGAGCATCGCGGTAGGAGAGAAAGGGAACGCGCGAGCCAGCTTCGAGTGCGGCGCCGGAGCCAAAGGTAGTCTCTGCGTCGAGGCCAAAGGAGACCTGTGCGCGGAGGGCCGACTCGGGATCGAGGCCGCCGAGCGGGATGATGGCATGGAGCGGATCGATGTCATCGACCAGGTGCAGGGCCTTGTTGAAGACGGCCGGCTTTGAGACAAGAAGAACCTCTGCGCCCGAGTCCTCGATGATGTACTTCCAGGTTGACGGCATCTGCGCCTCGTACATGGGCACAAAGACAGCGCCGAGCGAGAGAGTCGCGTAGTAAGCGACGGCCCACTCGACGGAATTATTGGAGACGATAGCGACACGAGAACCTTTTTGAGTACCTAGAGCTGCCAACGCCGCTGCAAACGCCGTGACCGAGTCCTTCAACTCGGAATACTTCATCCACTCGTACACATCCGGCTCTTTGTTCAGCGACGTGTTCTTGTAGCCGAGCACCTTCTTCGAGCTGTACTTGCCCGTCGACTCGATGAACATGTCCACAACCGTATTAAAACCACGGACCCGTCCTGCCACTCCCATGCCTACTGTCATAGCAGAGAGTCGGAACATGTCGCCTTCCCTTATGTCTGCAGATGGGTGTGGTGGAGAGGTGTGAGGAGGATCAATCTG